CCCAGGTGCCTCTCTGAACTCAGAGGGGCACTTGGGCTGGGCGGAAGCCTGCCTGCAAGGCCTCGCCATGTGGGCAGTGTTTCCGGCCGGCCCAGGCGCCTCTCGGAACTCAGAGGGGCGCTTGGGCCGGGCGGAGGCCTGCCCGCAAGGCCTCGCCATGCGGGCGGTGTTTCCGGCCAGCCCAGGCGCCTCTCGGAACTTGGAGGGGCGCTTGGGCCAGGCGGAGGCCTGCCCGCAAGGCCTCGCCATGCGGGCGGTGTTTCCGGCCAGCCCAGGCACCTCTCGGAACTTGGAGGGGCGCTTGGGCCAGGCGGAGGCCTGCCTGCAAGGCCTTGCCATGTGGGCAGTGTTTCCGGCCGGCCCAGGCGCCTCTCGGAACTCAGAGGGGCGCTTGGGCCGGGCGGAGGCCTGCCCGCAAGGCCTCGCCATGCGGGCAGTGTTTCCGCTCGGAGGGGCACTTGGGCTGGGCGGAAGCCTGCCTGCAAGGCCTCGCCATGTGGGCAGTGTTTCCGGCCGGCCCAGGCGCCTCTCGGAACTCAGAGGGGCGCTTGGGCCGGGCGGAGGCCTGCCCGCAAGGCCTCGCCATGCGGGCGGTGTTTCCGGCCGGCCCAGGCGCCTGTCGGAACTCGGAGGCGCGCTTGGGCCGGGCGGAGGCCTGCCCGCAAGGCCTCGCCATGCGGGCAGTGTTTCTGGCTGGCACAGGCACCTCTCGGAACTCGGAGGGGCGCTTGGGCCGGGCGGAGGCCTGCCCGCAAGGCCTCCCCATGCAGGCAGTGTTTCCAGCCGGTCCAGGCGCCTCTCGGAACTCGGACCATGGTTTCCTTATGAGTTGCCTTTCGGGGATGAGGCTTGGAGGTTCTGCTCTTCAGTGGCTCCATTTATTCCTGGAGGGATGATCCAAGATGGTAGTGCTGGGGGACTTCTGTGGTTCCTGCGCTAAACTGGTGTTTGGCAGCTGTAATGGACTAGATAAGGGAAAACAAATTGAAGCTTAATCCAGACAAGATAGAGGGGCTCCTGGTTAGTTGTAAGACAGATCTGGGAATAGGGATTCAGCCTGTGTTAGATGGGGTTACACTCCCACTGACTACTTGGCTCAGAACCTGGAGGCCCAGGTTGTCCAGCAGTGACTTGGAGTGCTTTTGCATAGTTAAAGCTAGTGTGCCAGCCGTGCTCATTCCTGGAGTAGTCAGATCTGGCTATGGTGGTACATGCCTTGGCTACATTCCTGTTGCCGCCCTGCCCCCCCCCAGGGGGGGGGGATTGAGAAGGGAGAGGTACAAATACCTGAAATAAATAATCAATAACAATGCTCTCTACATAGGGCTACCTTTGAAAAGTGCTCAGAAACTGATAACTCAGGTTAGCTACAAGGAATGTACAACTCCTCTTGTAACTGCTCCACTGGCTGCAAACACGTTTCTGAGTACCATTCAAAGTGCTGGTTTTGATTGCATCTCTTTTTATGAACTTGGTAGACATCTATGATCTACTGGGGAGCGCCTTCTATTGGTCTCACCACCCACACAAGCACGTTTGGTGGGAACATGGGAGACAGCCTTTTTAGTGGCTGCTACCAGATGGTGGAACTCCCTCCCAAGGGAGACTGTTGGCCTTCCACAGAGGGGTCAAGACATTCTTCTGCCAACAGGCATTTGAGGAACGATAAAGGGCAGGCTGTGGGGAGGTTGGGTGGTATTGGAGGGATATGAGTTTTAAAGGTCATTTAAGTATATTTGTTGTATTCTGCTTTTACTGCGCTGTTACTATTTAATTGTTTTTTTAACATTTGTGTTGCACTTTTAAAACTTGTCTACAGTGTACCTTGAGTCCCCACAGGGAGAAAGGTGGGGTATAAATAAATTTAATAATAATAATAATAATAATAATAATAA